CTCTCAGCCAAGGACAAGCATGTCGTTGTTATTGGTGGTGGTGATACTGGTAACGATTGTATTGGTACTTCTATTCGTCATGGATGCAAGTCGGTTGTCAACTTTGAGTTGCTTCCTCAACCCCCTCAAACTCGTGCCAACGATAACCCATGGCCTCAATTCGCTCGTGTCCACAAGGTTGATTATGGTCACAGTGAAGTCCAAGCTCACTTTGGCAAGGATCCTCGTGAATACTGTGTCATGTCCAAGGAGTTTGTCAAGGATGCTGAAGGCAATGTCAAGGGTATCAACACTGTTCGTGTTGAATGGACCAAGGATGAAAATGGCCGTTGGGCTATGAAGGATGTTCCTGGCTCTGAAGAATTCTTCCCTGCTGATTTGGTGCTTTTGTCCATGGGCTTTTTGGGTCCTGAAGAAGCTCTTGTCAAGCAACTTTCTCTCAAGCAAGATGGCCGTACCAACATTGAGACTCCCAAGGGCAAGTACAGCACCTCAGCTCCTGGCGTATTTGCTGCTGGTGATTGCCGTCGTGGTCAATCACTCATTGTGTGGGGTATCAACGAAGGTCGCCAATGTGCTCGTGAAGTCGATCTTTTCCTTGAAGGCAGCACTTATCTTCCTGTTGCTGGCGGTATCAACAAGCGTGCTTAATCCACTACATATAGTATTAGAAGGCATCGCATTGTTCTATGTATATAACAATCTCATTCATAATAAATTTTATTGCCCAAAAACAAAGATGTAATTTATCGAGAGCCACTTTGAATAGGTGAACATGGGAAGAGAATATAGCTTGATGTAATTCGAACCCATAAACAAAGAATAATCAGAGAGGATTGCTTTTGGTTTTTTTAGATTTGGATATAGCAGTTTTTCAAATTTGGGAATGCTGGCTGTTGGAATACGGTCGATGGATTGATTAGTGCACGAGAAAAAGATATTTGGTATACAGGAGGTTGTGTTCATTGTCTATGGGCAAGCAATCTTATGTACGCGGGAGTGCTTGTATTTCGTGTATAACCAGCATTGTTGCAAAAATCCACGTGATGGGAACGATGCTCCTGCTGCAGAGATTCATTTCCATGATTAAAGTAGCTTGATCCGAGCTGATTTGACCGAGCTACGGTCAAGCAAGGTTACATCGGTTGAGATACCTAGAGGGTGTTGCATGTACGAAGCGATATACTCTTTGTTCGAGCGTATCTCAGCCAAATCAACTCGGACCAATATAGTTGAATCATGAAAATAAATGTCTGAAGCAGGTGCATCGTTCCATTGTTACGGAATTGACAAAGGCTGCGAATGAAGAGAAGTGCATGCTAGCTGCCGGTTTACGCTTATCGAATAGTTCATAAAGTATCATATATTGATCCTTTAGCCCTATCTTCTTTGCTCTGTTACACACACACGCCCCTGCACATCTTTCGCTCTGTCAGGGTCCAGCTACTTCACAATGAACAAAGACCACGTTTCATATAGCATCATGCTTACAGCATAGTTAAAACATAAACGTGCCTGTATCTCCAAACTTTACAATCGAACGTGGGGTTTTGAATAGAGCAATGGGCTCAGCTTGGCCAACAGCACCTTGTGTGAAAGTTTCGCGATCAAGCTTGCCATTCCCAGATTTCGCAATGTCGCCACCAGCCAAACTGGATCTGGGGGTCGACCTCTTCGACGACGACGACCAAAAAATATTTTTTGGGCTGTTTGCGACATTGAACGCGAAACTTTCACACAAGGTGCAGTTGGCCAAGCCGAGCCCATTGCTCTAATAAAAACCCCACGTTTCATTGTAAAGTTCGGAGATACAGGCACCTTTATGTTTGTAAGCGTGATGCTATATGAAGAATGGTCTTTGTTCATTGTCAAGTAGGTGGACCCTGGCAGAGCACAAGATGCAGGACCTCTTTGTGTAACTCAGCTACTTTGCATGACTGGAAGGATGGAAGGATGATACTGTATACTATTGACAATATCCCATATATTGCGAGCTAACAGCCATTTCCTCACAATCGGCAATGTTGCCCATTCTATGACAGTGGAACGATGCTCCTGCTCTAGACATTCATTTCCATGATTAAAGTAGGTTGATCCGAGCTGATTTGGTTGAGTTACGCTCATACAAGGTTACTTCAGTTGAGCAACATAGAGCATGTTAGATGTGTGGATTGATGTAATCCCTCTTTGGCCGTATCTCGGTCAAATCAACTCGGATCAACATAATCCAATCATGGAAATGAATGTCTGAAGCAGGAGAATCGCCCACATGTCATAGAGTGGACAACAGTGGCTATTGTGAAGAAATGGCTGTTAGCTCGCAATGTACGGGATATTGTCAACAGTATATAGTATCATCCTTCCATCCTTCCAGTCATGCAAAGTAGCTGAGTTACACAAAGAGGTCCCTCTGCATCTTTTGCTCTGCCAGGGTCCAGCGACTTGACATTGAACGAAGATCACTTCTCATATAGCATCACGCTTACAAACATAAAGGTGCCTGTATCTCCGAACTTTACAATGAAACGTGGGGTTTTGAATAGAGCAATGGGCTCGACTTGGCCAACAGCACCTTGTGTGAAAGTTTCGCGTTCAATGTCGCAAACAGCCCAAAAAATATTTTTTGGTCGTCGTCGTCGAAGAGGTCGACCCCCAGATCCAGTTTGGCTGGTGGCGACATTGCGAAATCTGGGATTGGCAAGCTTGATCATGAAACTTTCACACAAGGTGCTGTTGGCCAAGCCGAGCACACTGTTCTATCAAAGACCCCACGTTTCATTGTAAAGTTCGGAGATACAGGCACCTTTATGTTTGTAAGCGTGATGCTATATGAAGAGTGGTCTTTGTTCATTGTCAAGTAGGTGGACCCTGGCAGAGCAAAAGATGCAGAAGGACCTCTTTGGGTACCTCAGCTAAAAAGTCAGGACTTCAGAGACAATGCATGACAGGTACGCAACCCTCCCTTTTATGTCATACATTGGCAGCTAATAGCCACTTTTGTGCATTCCCAACTTTTGTGCATTCTATTGTAGGTGGACGATGCACCTGCTCTAGACATTCATTTCCATGATTAAAGTAGGTTGATCCGAGCTGATTTGGTTGAGTTACGCTCACACAAGATTACATCGGTTGAGCTACATCGAGCGTACTCTATGTCCAGAGTGATGTAATCTCTCTTTGACCGCAGCTCAGTCAAATCAGCTCGGATCAACCTACTTTAATCATGGAAATGAATGTCTAGAGCAGGAGCATCGTTCCCATGCAGTGGATCTCGCAACAATGATGATTGGATAAAAGTGGCTGTTAGCTAGCAATACATGCCTGTTCCTAGATGATCCATAAAGTAATT